CCCTCACTCTCTCCCAGGGACGCAAGAGTGAATCAAACAGAGTGATCCAGGGGTTCCTTGGGTTTCTGGTGACAGCTCAGTAGTGTCTGTGGGCCAGGGGGCACGTGGGAGATATGGCAGGAGGAAAACAAGGAAAAGCATCACAGGCAGAGCATGTAGTTTGGCACTGAGAGGAGGCGTGGGCACCTCGGGTCCCATGCACCTTCTCTGGGTCCCATGACACAGCCTGCCAGGCCCACATCAGAGGGAAGGGCCGAGTTCGCGGTGGGCCTGGCCGTGTGCTCTGAGCTTTCCTTTTCCTGGTTTATGACAGGAGCTGGCACCGCACCTCTGTTCCCACTGCCCGTCGTGTCAGCCAACAAAGCCGGTTAACAGCTGTGTTGGGGCCCATGAAGTTGCAGGGCCTGGCCACACTTCCGCTCACATCCCATGGGCAGCACTGGTGGGGTGGCCCTGCCCCCTTGGAAATGCCTGGCTTTGGTTTTCCTTCACTGTGGCAAATGAATGGCTAGTTCACTTGTAGGCTCCTAGAGAGAAGCGGCAGCAAGGAGCCTGTCACGCACATAAGATGCCAAGCTGTGGATGAGAGGGCATGAGCAGCAAATGAGAGCACGGCGGCTGGTGCAGGGGAAGGCTGGGAGATGGGCATGGAGCCAGCCCTGGGCCCAAAGGGGCCTGCAGAAGATGATGCACTGGGGGGACCAGCACCCAGGTTTCCTGGTAGGAGCTCTGCACTGTGTGTGTGTCCCAGGCACTGTCTGAGCTGGAGAGCTGATTCATTCTTCACATGGCATTTCCGTACCATTGAGTTTCAGATCCATTTCTAGACAGCCCCGGGCCTTGCTGTCCACATGCCCAGTGCCCAGGTCTGACCAGTTTCTGGGAGCCTAGCTGCCATGCTCCTGAGGCCCCATGCCTCCCTGTGTGCACCCGCCCTCCCCACACACCCTCACGAGGGGAACATGGCTCTGCAGGAAGAGACTGTCCACCATCCCTGATGGGTGTCTGCATCGCCTTGGTGGCTGCCCTGCTGTACACATGCCGAGGAGCAGCGTCAGCAAGGTGGTCTTGGTGCTCCGTGGAGTGCAGGTGCAGGTGTCGGGGACTGGGAGCATCGAAGCTGCTTCCTGCCTCTCGGGCATGCCAGCGCTGCAGCCTTGGCAACCCCTCTCTTCCTAGATCTCTGTGCCAGGAAAAAAGCAGCCCGGCACCCGAGGGGAGTTTGTGCAGGGCTCAGGCAAGCCACGCTGCCAGCAAGACAGCTTGCACTTCCCAGGGGGCCTGTGGCAGCAGGACTTGGGGATCAGCTGGGAGGGGTCAGGAAAGAGCCACACCAGCCTGGGTGGGACCTGCTGCTTCAAAGACCCGGAGGCCCCTTTGTCACAAAGTGGGGAGAAATCACTCAGTGCTTTCCCCATCCTGGCCCGGGAAAAGTTGACAGGGGTAGGAGATTGACACACAATGTCCAGTGTAGGTGTGACAGAGTGCGGCTGTGCCCACACTGCTTGCAGTTCTTTAGAATGCCAGCCTCCAGGGAGGCTGTGGCCTTTGGAGCAGCCTCTCTGTGGCAGCACCCACGGGCCCCGGGTCAGGCTGCTGCCTGGAGCGCAGACACGCCCACTGGCAGGTGGCTGCAGGAGCATAGATGCTAGCGTCTACACAGGCCACGTCACCGCTGCCGTACAGTTCATGCTGGAGCCTTTTCCTCATGTCCAAATGCCTCCCGCTGGCCGGGGCAGCACAGCTTTCCCCGGCCTGCAGGCGAGGCTGGCCACTTCTCTGGATCCCCCAAAGATGACCTCCGGGTTGAGGGGTCAGAGCCACCTGTCAGCGCCGGGCTCCTGAGCATCAGCATGCTCTGAAGTGCCGTGTGTGCTTTGCAGGTATCGGAAGGTCAAGAGATCTGCGTGATTGAAGCCATGAAAATGCAGAACAGCATGACAGCTGGCAAGACCGGCAAGGTACACCCCCACAAGCCCTCCCTGTGCCGTGGGGCCTGGCAGACGTGCATGGTGGGCGTGGACTGCACCACGTGGGTGATCCCTTCCACAGCAGGATCAGTGTGGTGGGGTGTTCGGTCCCCAGGTGCTGCCCTGGCCTCGCAGGGGAGAGGTGGTGCAGACAACCACCCTGGGTTCCAGCAGTCGATGCATAATTGTTCCACACCTTAATGTCTTTGGAATTAAGGGCTGTTTAATTTTTAATGTTGACATCTGTCTGGAAGGCAGGCAGTTATCTGAGACCAAGGGGACACAGCAGGAAATAGTTTTACAGATTGCAAAAAAATGAATGTACCTCTTGATGGTGATTCCTCCACAGAGAGCAATTCCACTGCAGGTCAGGAGGGACCCGTGTGCTACCTGTTAGGGCGGGGCACACTTTAGGAAGATGAACCAGTGCTGGGTGACACTCGGGCAGGCCAGGCCTTTCCGGCAGTAGCCTTCATAGTCCTGAGCTACCCCGAAGGGGTACTTCTGGAGGCGGCTGCCTAGTGGCATGTGATGGGCAGTGAGGGCAGCACTGTGGCCACGCTCTGGGGACGGCAGGTGCCAAGACCTGACAGTTTCCTGTGACAGCAGGAGCTGGCCTGCCCATCTGTCCCCTGGTCTGTTACCCCACAGGGCTGGGGCGTTGTGTATGGGAGGCTGGCAGGGGTCCCCAGTGGCCCATGGTAAAACCAACTCTTTTTCGGAAGGCCTTGCCCCCAACTCCCACGTTCAGGCCCTGCCCCTCAGCTCCATTTTTCCCTCACCTGGGGACTTGTCTGACCCCCCTCGTCTGCAGCCCACACAGCTGCTTGCCACAGGAGTCCTTCACATCTGTCCCTGGGGGAGCGTAGCAGGTGACACTGCTCTCGCCCAAGTGCATTTGTGCTCCCTAAGAAATGGGCCCTGCAGTTCCTCAGGTTGCCGCCTTCGCCAGCATCAGCAGCATCAAGATGAGTGGGTGCCTGGCCTCTTTGAAGCCCCCGGCACCCAGCTGAGCCGCTTCCTGTGAGTTCGCTTGGCTCCAGTACAGGAGCAGCAGGGCCTAGGCTGCTTGCCGTGGAGGCTTGGGGCCGAGGCCATGGTGCTGCTGCAAGCCTGCCTGGCATCCTATGTGCACAGCAGTGTTTTGCGCGCCCACCTAGACCCCTTCCTGCTGTTCTGAGCAAAAGGGGCCGGTGAGCAAACAGACAGAAACGCCCAAGTAGCAGCCTGTGGGGCTGCTGAGGTCAGGGGGAGGGCTGGCACGGGCAGAGACGGGCCAGCGCCTCCCCAGCTGCCCGGTCCAGCCAGGGGCCTGGGCAGCCAGAGGCAGAGGGGATGCACCTGCGTGTCGCTCTCACCTAGGGGCAAAGCGGGATGGGGACCTCCCCCTCGCTCTGGGCTCTGCTGATTAATCCTGCTTCTCCCCATTGTATCCTCTGGACCTCAAGGTGAAATCAGTGCAGTGCAAAGCCGGAGACACGGTCGGGGAAGGAGACCTGCTCGTGGAGCTGGAGTGACGCCTGGCGGAGCTGGGTGCGGTCAGTCGTGCGAGGTCCACCCGCCTGCCTGCACGCCGGGTCATGCAGGGGTCACACGGGGCGGCGGGTTTCCGTCCTTGCGGTACACCAGCGAGTGTCCACAATGACACACTGCCAAAGAGCCACCAGCGGAAGCTGCTGCTGCAGATCCGGAAGTGAGATTGGTGCTTCTGCCCCGGGACTTCCTGGTGTCAGTCACTTCAATAAAACCAAGCCTTCGTCTAACAGCAGTCTGCCCTTCTCTGTTTGTTTTTTGAATGAAGACACCATGCACATGGGCGACAGGCCGAGCCTTAGGCTGTGTGTACTAGCGTGTCAGTGTGCTGCCTTTACAAAACTCAAGAATGTATTGTGAATTCATGTTCTGCCTCTGTGGTAAAACTGCTGTCTGTTACCTTACTAACCCGGTTCCCTTTTCTCCCCGACCAAGGATCTGACCGCTGTGGCTGAGGAGCCACAACCCCCGAGGGCTGCGGACGCCTCCTGTCCCTCCTGCCTGCCTGGGTCTGTGCACGTGCCAAGCTGGATGCTGCCTGGAGGAGGCACGTGGGGCTCACTGCCCGAGCTCTTCTGGCGACAAGCGTGTGGCCTGTGTCACCGACGCTGGTCGAGAAGCACATTCCCAGTGAGCAAAACAGGCTAAAAATAACACTGGAGTGTCTGCACGGAGGGGGCTGCCAGTCTACCATTAAGTTGAGAGTGCGTGCCTGGAGGAGGCGGCTGCCGAGGACCGCAGCTGCAGCTCCGGGGCCCCGCCGGCCTGGATCCCCCGCTTTGCTGGCAAGTGGCGCGGTCGTGCACAGACGGGAGCTGGGCTGACACGCGAGCCGATCGAGGTGGGCAGTAATTGGTACTCTGCGCACGCTCATATTATTTTAAGTGCTGTTTGCATGTGGAAGCTGGGCGTCTTGTCAGGCCTGAAGGACAAATTACCAATGTGCTGGTTCTTCCCTGAGCAGCTCAGCCCCAGCTGCTGGGCCTTCAGCAGGCAACAACAGCCCGGCTGCAGCGGCTGGGCACTCATCAACGGCCTTGCAAAGCCAGGGGCATTCAGCCACAGCAAGCGGGGGCCGTCATGCCCCAGAGTATCCCCCAAATGCACAGCACTGGCACCCTCTCCTTTTTTTTAAACTCTGAAATGTACAGCGAGACCCAGACACATCTCCCATTGGCTGCTCTACCCCCTGGATGCTGCCACCAGTGGGGAGGGGGTGGGGAGCCAGCACATCAAGCTCTGGAACCTAGAGCTCCATTCGGGCTTCCGTTGGTGCTGGCAGGGACCCAAGTCCTTGAAGCTGGGATTGGGAGAGGAGCGGGGACTCGAACCCAGGCCCTCTGATGCGGGGTGCAGCTGACCCCAATGGTGTCCTAAGCCCAAAGCACCAGCTTCACCCAGCACCAGATCGCTTTGCTCAATACCTGGTTTTATTCGAAATGATTTGTCACCTAACAGTCTGTGGAAGCCTGATAAGAATTCTGAATGCAAAATATGGGTTTTTGCAGCTCTTTATTACAGTGTCACCCAAGAACCAGCTGTTACACTCCGGGCGTTCTGAGTCGCCATGGCACAGCCACCTCCCAGCACCTGCCTGCCTTGGCAGTGTCACCCTGCCATGGAAGAGGGGAAGGAGAGTCAGGAGAACAGAGGTAGGTCTCTGTGGGAGCTCTCCACGTGCCTTTTCAGGGGATTAAAACCTGAGTCGTTCCGGATCCTGCCCACACAGCGGCACACAGTGGTCTCCGCTCTGGACGGCACAGCCGCCTTCCTAACGGGTCCCCGGAGCTGCACGCTGGTAGGTTCTGCGTGCACACACAGGCGGCCCCTCATCTGTTTTCTCGGGGGTTGTAGCGCAGCCCGTGCTGCCCCTCAGAGTCGTAACTGTCCAGGTAAGGCAGGTGCACCCACTCGGGCGCGTAGGTGGCTGTGCTGTACACGAAGCACTGCAGGGCGCCCGGTGCGGCCGGCCCAGGGCCTTCCCACTGCAGCACGCGCACGGAGAGCTCAGTGCGCTGGTACATGCGAGGGCATTGCTCGAAGTCGTCCAGGAAGCGGAGCATCTGCTCGTCCACTGCGTAGATCTCCCCGGCCACGCGGTGGCCCCTGCCCGGGAGGTTGAGCAGCCGCGGGATGTTGTGTTCGCCGGCGATCACGAGTGGGTATGGCTCGGCTGTGTGGCCGTGCCCGCGGAAGGCTGCCGAGCCGTGCATGCCATCCAGCAGCACCTTGTGGTTGGGCTGGCCCCGCTTCAGGGTGCCGTACACAAAGACGAGGGCCATGGGCGCAGGCGAGGAGCTGCCAGGAGAGAGGAGGAGGGCCTGTTAGCAGGGCCACGGGGTGCACATTGCCAGGCAGGCCACACGCATGCGGGGACCGGGTGGGTTCTGTGCAGGAGCGTGCCTCTCCTACACGAACTGGTTTGGGTTTCCTTTGCCATTTAAAAATGGGCAAACAGTCCCGAGATTTGGGATTTTGGGTGGGCCTGCAGGTCAGTTTGCCAATTTATGGCATTGGTGTAGTCTCCTGTGGCTGTGGGCATACGTCCCAGGGGTTGAGAACTGGGGACTAGTCAGCTAAGTGAATTCTGGCGCCCCAACCCACCCCGTCCCATCCCTGCGTCCCGTCCCACCCCTCCCTGCCCAGGAACGGACGTGATTCCTGGTTCCTTGCCTCCGTTGTGCTGGTGAACAGACGCTGAGCCCTGGCTGTCACGGCAAATAAGTCCTAACTGTAGGAGGGGCCCTGGGGTGGTGGCACCTGCGCCCCTCCTCCTGCCTACTGCTCAGGACACATGGTTGTCCCAGGGCTCACAGGGGCGCCCAAGCCAGCCCCCCAGCATCGCCCACGGAGAGGTGCAGGCGGCTCGGTGGCACTCAGCCTGGCTGCTGGGTGTGTATGTACACCCTGCTCGTGTGTGTGTGTGTGTGTGTGTGTGTGTGTGTGTGTGTGTGTGTGTACACCCTGCTCAGCCACCCTTTCCTGATGATGCTCTCATTATTTTAGGAGGACTCTGAACACTGCTCATTGCATACTGGGAAAATCAGAACTCTGGCAGCAGGGGGTCACTGAGGCTCTGCCCAGCACTAACTCCACTGCTTCCTGGTCCTGCGGGACGGCCCAGCAGAACCTTCTGGTCGCCCCTGTTCAAGGGCCAGGGGCAGGCTTGGCTCACTGTGGCTCAGGGCAATGACCTTGGCTGCACATGAGGGTCAACCCCAGCAGGGCCCTTACACAACACGGTGCCTGTACAAAGTGATCCAACAGCAGAGGAAGCTCGCCTGGACGGGGACGGCTTTGCAGGTCCAGCTGCGAAGAGGGAGATGTGGGTCGGGGAGGCTTGGAAACAGCTGGGGAAGAAAACAAACTGCCTACTTTTGGCACACCTGGGACGCAACACTTTAGAAGCTGTTTATTTTCATCTACTTGAAGAGAGCGAGCAAGCTCTCCCGTCTGCTGGTTCACGCCCCTAAGTGGCTACAACAGCCGTCAGGGCAGGTTCATGCGGGTGTCCCAGGTGAGTGAGGAACCCCCGTCACCCACTCTGCCGTAGCTGGAGTGAGCCATCTGGGGAGTGAGCCAGCGGACAGAAGTTCTCTCTCTCTCTCTGCTTCTTCCTCTCTCTAGCTCTGCATTTCAATTTTTCCCCCTAAAAGAGAAGGCTGCATGTGGCATTTACTGCATGCTGTTTATTGCTGGGTGGTAATTCACCTCACCTTTCCACTCCAGACAGAACACGGGGGCTGGAGGCCCACACCTGACACCTGCTGCGGGGCCTCCTAAGCATGCAGCAGCTCCAGGCCGGTCCCGCCACCACTGCCCTCTGCCACGTGGAACCCGGGGAGTAAGCTGCTGGGCACACACTGCGACCACATCCTGTGGGAGCCGCGACTGTCCCCCGCGAACCCCAGAGCTGGCTCCCAGCCCTGCCATGGTGCCCTCCTAACTATCTGGGCCCTGTGGCGGCTGCTGCCCTGGGCTCCCTGGTGGGTGTCCCAGACCCCTCCGTGCCTGCCGGCTGCTTCCTGCCTTAGCTCATTCTTTACTGCTCCTGATGAGTAATGTGGCTGACAGAGGATTCTAGAAGTTGTGGGCTTCCAGACCTTACAGGCTGTTCCTGCTAAGAAGCCACAGCCTGCGGTTTTCCCTGTGTGTCTGACTCTGGTGTGGATTCAGGCAAGTCTGTCCGTCTCCCTGGGACTCTGAACTCCCTGTCTGGGTCAAGGGGAGTTGTCTGCCCTGTCCTGCACTTCCTGCTGTTCGGGTGTTGGATATCCTGGACCAGTCGTCCAGCACTCTCGCCTTTCTCCTTTCCTTACTCTGCATTCTAATTCATCTCCCATTTCTCCTATTAATTGTTAAAAGTTTGCCATGCTTGGAGCTAGTGTTGTAGCACAGTACACGAAGCCACTGTTTGCAGTGCTGGCAGCAGTGTGTGTCCTGGCAGCCCCACTTTCATTGCAGCTTCCTCAGAAGGTCCCTGGGAGAGCAGTGGATGAATGCCCACATTTGGGTCCCTGCCGCACATGGGAGATGACATGAGGCTCTGGGTTCCTGGCTGCAGTGTGGTACAGCCGCCAGCTCTTGTTGAGTGAATTAGTGGATGGAAGACCCCTCTCCCCCCCTTATAGCTTTTTTAAATAATAACTTAAAAAACAAGTTTGCCAGGTTAATTCCTGGGTCTTCGTGTGTGTGTGCATGTTTCACAAACACAGTTATTTATGTAAAAGTTGCCTTCTTTCCCTTTTTGTCTTTTTTAAAAAGATTTATTTTTATTGCAAAGTCAGATATACAGAGAGGAGAGACAGAAAGGAAGATCTTCCCTCCGATGATTCACTCCCCAAGTGAGCGCAATGGCCGATGCTATGCCGATCCGAAGCCAGGAGCCTCTTCTGGGTCTCCCACACGGGTGCAGGGTCCCAAGGCTTTGGATCATCCTCGACTGCCTTTCCAGGCCACAGGCAGGGAGCTGGATGGGAAGCGGGGCTGCTGGGATTAGAACCATCACCCATATGGGGTCCTGGCATGTTCAAGGCGAGGACTTTAGCTGCTAGGCCACTGCGCAGGGCCTCCTTTTTGTCTTTTTTTAAAGATCACTTTTTATTGGACAGGCAGAAATACAGAGAGAAAGATCTGTCCACTGGCTTGCTCCCCAAGTGGCTGCAACAGCCAGAGCTAAGCCGATCTAACACCAGGAGGCAGGAGCTTCTTCCTGGTTTCCCACAGGGTCCCAAGGCTTTGGATAATTCCCTTCTGCTTTCCCAGGCCATAAGCAGGGAGCTAGATGGGAAGTGGAGCAGCCAGGACACAACGCAGTGCCCCTTTGGGATCCCAACATGTGCAAGGTGAGGATTTAGCCATTAAGCCATTCAGGCTGGGCTCTTTACTGTTTTTTATTTACGTATTTGAAAAGCAGAGAAAAATGTTCTGTCCATTGGTTCACTCCCCAAATGCCTGCAAGTCATTACTGGGCCGGGCTGAAGCCTGGGGCTCCATCCGGGTCTCTAGACCGGGGGACCGGAGTGGTTGGGCCACCACTGCCCCCTCCCTGCTGTGCGCTGGCAGCAGGGCCCTCCTATTGGTCTCTGCATGTCCCAGATGGGGTGACGTGAGGCGGGACAGGAGGGGGCCCTTGGCCGGCTGGCCCTCTGCTCCTGCAGTCACAAATTCCCACCCCTCCATCACCCTCCGCTGTGTCTCACACCCAGCACTGGCAGCTTTGGCCTGGCGCTCTGCTGGGTGTGAGTAACTGGAGCTTCTGCTTGGATATAAACCTCGAGTCCTCTTGCTGCATCTCACACCCCAGGGCTGCTTCCAGAGCTCCGGCCCCCAGCCAGCCAACCAGCCGAGCAGGCACTGGCGGCCCGAGTCCATTACCACTCACGCCAGCCTTCATTGTCCCACAAGCTCTAGCACCTTCTCTTATGTTTTGTGCTGCAAGCCTGGGAGGGAGGTGGTGTGGACGAAGGGGCCTGTTCCAGCATTGAGCAGTGCCAGCCACCCTTGGGCCAAGCCCTGGCCCTAGAGGCACAAGGGAGGAGCAGCCGTTGCTGGCGCAGAGGCTGGTGAGGGCATCCAATTCAGGAAGAGGAGCACCTGTTCTGCCTGCTGAGGAGATGGGGGGATGGGAGTAGCGGTGGCAGTGCAGTGCTGGCACCCAGAGCAAGTGAGACTGCCATGAAGTGAGGGGTCAGGGGCAGGGCTCCTCTAGCCCCGGGTGACCAGGAGCGGGACAAGGCCAGCAGAGCAAAACACTTGCATCCAGAAGAGGACACAGAATGGGGGACCAGAAAGCACGCTCTATCCCGGTTTGCACAGGGAAACTGCACCCCAGAGTGGGCTAGAGCTCAGGGGTGTCGCTGAGGGCAGTGCTGGTCCTCTGAGGACCCTGCTCACAGCCGCACTGGGTGCCACATGAGCACACAGCCTGTGCCAGCTTAGTGGGTCTGAGACTGCCAGCCCGGTGGGCTCAGGTGATGGGCAGCTGGGGAAGGAAACCCTCCTGCGCCCCGGGAATGGATGCCTCAGGTGCCCCACCCTCTGTGCAGCAGCCACCCCCCCACGCCTGGGGAGTATCTTGGGGGCGTGCCCCCCACAGCTTCACCTGCCCGGCTAGGCCAGGAGCACCATCATCCAGGGTGGCTTGGGCGCTGCAGTTTACAGGAAGTGCAGGGAAGCACTTGGTGACAGGGTGTCGGCCTGCCTGAAGTGCCACCACCACTATCCAGCCACGCAAGGCTTTGGGAAAGCGGCCCGCGGGCACGGAGCCACCATTTGCCTGTGTCCAGGCCAGGTTCCCCCAGAGCTCATCCAGCCCATGGGCACTGTGCCAGGTGTGGCTCGGTCCCCGTTCCCTCGTGTGGGCTCCACAGCACCTCCAGCCCTCTAGGACGACCCAATGGGCTGCATCCTGTCTACTGCATTTACCCATGCAGTTAAACTCGTCTTGTTTCTGCTTCTTCCTGAGACAGGTGCGTTACCTTGTGACCGGGTTTGGAGCAGTTTCAGACCCTTCCAGAAGAGCCGTGTTCCTGTGGGGATTGAGACGGCAGCAGAGTCAGGCACCACAACAAACCATTCATTCCCATTAGGGGATTAAGGCACTCGGCTGACTTGGAGTCAGCACAGCACACTGAGCCCAGTGGGTGCAGCCAAGCCGCCGCCTGTCCCACTGGATAAAGTGGAGCAGGGACTGGCCACCTGCCACCCACGCCAGGAAGTGACTGGGGTCCCCCCTGCACAGGCAGAGGGGCTGCAGCAATGGGGGCACGGAGCTGTCCAGCCCGCCAACTGT